GGCAATTTAGAGACACCAATCAACCAAAGCTGCATGTCTTTGGACTGTGGAAGGAAGCCGGAGTACCCGGAGAGAACCCACGCAAGCACGGGGAGAACATGCAAACTGGGGCCCGAACCCGGAACCTTCTCACTGTGAGGCAACAGCGCTAACCACTGTGTCACCGTGCTGCCTGACTTCCCCGCAGTGAGAGGAAAAATACTGTCTTTGAAATAGATACCAGCAGTATCATGGAACCCATCTTCCACAAAGTGGTCACAATGGTGCAGTTCCAGGCTGCATAAGGAAAACAAACTGCCACTGAGAAACTGTGTGTTGGGGGTGAAATCAGATAACAGTGTTCATGCACTGTGTAAACAACTTTATCAGTTTGGAGATTAAACAAGTGAACACGTACACTACTTGCGCACAGCATAAGGAAACAAACACTCAGTAGTCTGCATTATTTACCTTTTACACATTTAAAAGTACAAGGGCCAAAACTAAAATTTTAGGATTAATTAATTAATGTCACTTTAGGACTCATCACTAAGTTATATTCTTTGGTTGGATGGCAATCTCTTTTGTCTACAATGCTATTTTAAAGTTATTGTCATCTTATTTGTGCATTTTTATGAGTCCTGTTTGTGCTTCAAGATGAACTCAGATGACAGAACCGTCTGCTGTTCACTGTACCAAAGACTTGGACTGGATTTGGTAAAATGGTGTTTAAATATGTTGCTCCTGCTGCCTGGAATGGACACCAGAGAGTGACTTTGGGTGAATTTAAAAAACTCATACCTTTTAGAGAAATTGGATCCTTTACAAACTGGTATTGTTTTATTTGGTTTATTGACTTAGACATGTTCACGTGAGTTACGGGATTGTGTGAAACTGGCTTATGTTTCGTAACTATGTTGTTGTTGATACTGTTTTGGCCAAGTCTCTCTTGCAAATATGATTTGGATTCTCAATGAGGTAATGCCTGGTTAAACAAAATTAAATAAATAAAACCAATAATAAATTTGCTGACCAGTAAAGCTTTAACATGTCCATAAGCAGTGAAAGTTTCTAGGTAACATTTGTTTTGTTCAAGTAACAGACCAAAATCCAAAGAAATTAAGCTATTGTTTAAAAATCATATTATTGCAATTTCACAACAAGACGGTAATTTATAAATTACCAGCGTAATGATTTCTGATTTAACTTTCAACCCATGATTCAATCAGGCCGACAGATTCCAATTTCCTCCACATTATCTTTGCGCTCAGCAGTAATTCATCATTTGAGCAACAAAATCAATTTGTTCCCCTGTCCGCTGCACTGGCTTGGAGTATTCAAACAGACATGTCACATCTCCCAGAAAACAACAACACAATGGAGGAGGCTTCATTTATATCCCCACTCCACATCCGCGTTGCCTTTCGAGATGCCAAATTTCAGCATGTGCACACTTTCAATTAAGGCAAACAGCTGGATTGGTTTACAATATTTGCTTAATTATTTTAATGGCTTGGATATTGGACAATGGGGAGCAGGGGGAGAAGATAGTGAGTTAATTGTTCTGATCTCCCCTGATGATCATCTTTGTGTGTGGGGAGGAGAATAGACGGCCGGCTGAATGGGCTCACTGCTAGTCTAATTGGCAGGACATAAATGGTATTTATTATGTGGGCTTTCCAAACCCTGATTGTCTGCAGCACAAAGCTGCTTCTATTAGCAGGGTGCTGGCTCTTACTGGTCGGTTTGAAATGACCCGACGCTTAACCATTTATTAGACAGACTGGAGGCTTCCTTGTATGCCATGGATCTCCCTAATTGGCATGTTTACCCATGTGCTGCTTCCTCAGCTGCTTACATTAGGACATGTTTGTTTAAATTTTCGTTTAGCAGGGTTAATGCATTTAACTGTCAGTCGAGGGTGAAACAATTTGCCACATCCACATTTGCGTTTAAACACAAGCTCTCTACACATTGTCCCAAAGGCCTTCGGATGTACTTTTCAGGAGGTGGACCTCAGCACAGAGCCCACAACCAAAATGGTCGAGAGAAAAGATCAAAGGGAGAGCCATGTAGCCCGGGGTTATGCGAGTATGCCTGTTTAATTCTGACGGAGATTCGTCGGGCAGTAAACGGTAGTGAGAAGAGAACAAAAGGACTCTCTAGGAGTCAGAAGTGGTGGAGGGAAAAAGGAGGACGATAACGGGGGAGGGAAGGTTGCCTCCGCTCTTTGACCCCAGTCAGTAAACTGAGTCACACCACAGTCCTGATAATAGGACTGAACAGATTAGTCACAGCAGCCAAACAGGAAGACTCAGATGCATTCTGGTCATGACTGTAAGTGTGTGTGCACATGTGAGTACAAGCACATACTTGGAACTTGGAGAAGGAAACTCAGAGTGATTAAATACTAAATTAAATATTTTCTATTAACACACAACCAGTGAAAATGTCATCCCTGAAATGTCAATACCTGCAAAAACCTATTTTAGCTTTATCGAGATGCCTTTTTTTTTGGGTGAGATAGATGAAAAAGTCATTGGTTTGAAGGGTTGTAATTTTTTTCCCCCTCAACCAACTGAAGATCATTTGACACTAAATTCAAAAAAGGAAATTAACAAAACGTGATTTATACAGTGAGGTGGTTGTAAACATCACATATGTACCGGTAGACATATTGATGTTCTTAAATGAAGCCAATTCACAAAGTAACCTTGAGTCAGATGCTACACTCACGTCACTACATAACTCAACACACTGTGGCACTGTTCATAGGCCAGCGGTGCTCCGCTCTCTCTCGCAGCCTCACTGTTCACCTGAAAGCTACAGTGTGTTCATACAGCATTTCAGAAGCCGCACTTTCAACCCAGCATCCACCTGTAAGCTCCTTGTCTGTGTTTTTCTTGGCGGGGGAAGTTATTTACATCACTGCCCACTCCCCTCTGCGCTGAGCCTCCTTGTAAGGAGGGTCGAGGTCAAAATTTACATACCAAATATCAACGCTGTATGTAAGCTATGCATCATATGGTTGACTGAAAATAAGTAAATGTAACAACCCTTTTATACATATACTATCACAGTTAAAAATTAATTAGCTGCTATGAGGTATCAATATTTTTTTAATATTGTACTGTAGCTGTTCCAAGTGAGGAACATTTCCCCCTGAAATATGTCAATGTAGAAGTCAGAGCAAAGGTTTTCCAAACAGAAAAGACTAAAATAGTAGTAGATTTGACTTCACTACAATAACAATGTAAATGTACATTGTTACTTTCACCTCTATCACATACAATAGTGCATTACTCTTTGCATTACCAAATTAACCTCCACATAGCACCACACAGAGCTGCTGCAATTTCTTTTAAACACACAGGCTTAAAGTGAGACACACATTGAATAATTTGCTGAATTACCATAAACTTGACTGTGCTTAAGTGGAAGGAAAGAAACAATATGTGTTTCAGTAGTGATTATGCAGCACTGCAAAAAACCTGAACAAAACCTATTCAAACTCTTTATGGATGAAATGTTTGGCAATTTTAACTTGAATCCCTCATCCGGGGGATGACATTCTAAATAATTTCAGTCATAAGTTTGTTGTGATTGTCATTCAACCCAGAACCTCCAGCATGCACCACTTTGCATGGAGCCATAGTGGTGGAGTGTCCTCTATGGCAAAGTTCCACTAGGCTCTTTGTCTCCTCACATACTATCAGTAAATTCTTACATCATATATCAGTTCTCATTGCATTATAGGAACATGTACAGTATTATCTCTTCCAGTGTTAATTTAATTTAGTGCCTTCTATTTGCCTGTGGCGATACTCTACCTCTGGCACAAGGACACACTTTCCCCTTGGGGAGAAGCTTTTACTGGCAGCTTTATTCCAGACTCACCATCAAAAACTGTCTGAGGGCTGTGGTGCTGAACACAAAAAGAAGAAAACAGGTGACAACTACCACACCTCCTGATAATGTATTCCAACTTTGGCTTTTTTATGTTTTCATAGAATATATGCATCCTTCTTTGGTATGCTCAGTGAGTCTGACATCTTCGTGCCAAAGAAAAGTGTGTCATCGTCTCACATGTACCTTATGTAACTTGCTGCATGTGTCAAGCTCTCACATAATGTAACAGTAATAGAAAGCAACTTTGTAAATTAGACAACTAACACTGCCTCACCTGTTTGATACACTGCAGACGGTCATTGGTCTGCTGTATGTGTCTGTCCATCGATGGAATCGAGTTCATGTTGATTGTCCCTCTTTGGCCTCTACCTGCCAGCCATTAAACCAGAGCGTTCTGCAACAGAAGTACAGACACATGTTAAAACTCGCCTCTTCCCAGGAAAGCTGCCAGTCCCATTACCACCAGGATATTGCAGTTTAGTGTGTCTATACAGTATGAGCGTGTAATGCTGTGCACTGAGCAGGGAGATATTGATTTAGCAGGTGACAAGCACATCAGAAAGCCCAAAGGATGACATTCCTCTCAGCTCCTGTGACACTCTTAACAAGCCCTGGCAGTTGCCCCGAACGCTGCCACACACCTTTGGAGAGGACACACTGGATGACTTAAGAGAGGATGTCTGACCATGTTTAAAACACCTCTGGGTGAAAGTGAAAAAAGGTGGAGGGACACACACACACACACACACAGTGTAGAGCCTGACAGTCTACCAGCATGAAACCCTTCCATTCTGGCCTGTGAGAAAGTTAACTTGGCATGGGGTTTTCTGTTTACATTACTTAGCCATTATGTAATCTTTGGTTAACAATTATCTGTACCCTAGGCCCAGACATGCTCTACATTTCATTTCTTCCCCCCTCCTCCCACCACTCTCCAGCTACATAAGAGTTCCCCTAACAAAACCTTACAGCACACCATTGATTTTGAAGCAGCAGCTTATGGAAAATCTCTTTTTTCCCCCAGAGGAATAAATTTTCATGGAAGGCAAACAATGGGCTGTGATCTGACATGCTACATAACATTATCACAAGTTAAATAGCATTACGATCTACATTAAGGGTTATCAATTTTGCCTGTGGGGATCTGATTTAATGTTGCATTCAGTGTCAAATAAATAACACATGCAGTGTGGCAGCTATAACTCATAGTGACCTGCAGCTTCAAGTAGAGGCTTAAGTGAATTAATAAGCATACAGTATATATGGGTGAGTGTGGAAAGCGTACCCCTCCATCTTTAGCCTCCCTGCCCCCTTTATCTCATCTTGTCTCAGTCTTTGCTTCTTGGTGCTGCTGAGGCATCTCTTCCTATGGCGCAAACATTCGTCCCCATCACTCAGACCCCTCCCACCCCGACTCCATCTTTCTCCATTACCATCACACGGTGAGAAATTCTACTGCACGATGTACCAGTGAGATGAAGGAGAGTGAGGAAAAGAGGGACAGAGCGAGCTGCACCACGCTGATAATGCTCTCTTAGTGGTCTCTAGCTGGATTTAACGGCAGCGCCGTAATCTACTCCACTAGACGGCAAAAGAGCTTTTATGTTACCTACTGGAGCCGCCTGCACTTGAGAGGAGAGAAGGGCACACTAGTGCATTCCTCTCCATAAATTAGAAAGTGCATAAAAAGAGACACTGGAGGAGATTTCACTCTCTGTTTGCAGATGAAAAGTATGTGTTTGTTTGGGCTGTAATTATAAAGTTTTTATATATGCTTATTTTTATGAATTCAATATAATGGCAATATGAAGGCATTTATGAGTAGGAGTCAACAAACCTGATTCAATATATTTTTTTCTATCTGGTTAAAAAAAACAAACAACAAAATTTACAAAATAGATCATTTTAAAATGTATTAACAACCACAATACTAGCACCAAAATAGAAATTGTTCTGTGTTTTTTGTATTTTCAATGAAGGAATCAATGCAACAGAAGAGAAGAAGCATCACTCATGCATGGACTTTCTCTACACCCCTCTGGTGCTTGCTGGGACAACTCTCCCCTTACTAACCTCTGTGTGCCAGCTAACACTGGGATAATCTTTGGCAGAGGCGACCCTGGACCACTGTGCCCCTCAGCTACCAGCAGGTGTCTCCCTGGCCCTTCAAAGGCCTGGCTAGTGGCACAAAGAAGGCAGAGTGGTGTTGCTTTAAGCCTTTACAAGCTCTACAAATCCTCAGCTGCTGCTTCCTAACAGGGCCCACTCAGCCCAGCACTGCCTGTCTGACCTTGTGGTTATTGATGAGCCAGTCGACCTGCTCTCTCCATCTCTCTTCCCTCCTGACATTTCTTTCGCTTTCTCTCCCTCTTTCCTTTCTCGATGTCATGTCTCCTACCTCCAACAGTGAGTTAAAATAAGAAAGAAAACGAAGAATGGAAAGAAACGGGCTGGGCTGAAATTCACTGCTTTTTTTTCTCTTACGCACACATCACAACAGTGCTTCTAACTTCCCTGCACTGTGAGCCATGTGTCCACATATTTGCATTTTCTTCGCCAGATCATTTAAAAAATGTATGAAATGACCATGTTGGGGAGTAATTTAATTTACAGACATTCACTAGTTCTAATTAAACACTTGTGGTTGTTATATATTTAATGACCAGCAAAAGCCAAATGAAAGATTAAACCTGTGATGCTGCGTAGATATGAAAACAGATGCAATCATGAGCCCGCCCCTATTTACTTGCTCTCTTCTATCTTTTGGATGTTATCACTAATTATTTTCTCTGTGCCATTACTTTATGTGAACTTACTTTCCTTGATTCAACTAGTTACCCAGAAATCCTGCTCCATGTTTTTTCACTATGAGAGGCAAAATCAGCACACATGTGTTACTTGAACTTCACTTACTGCAAATTGCATGACAGGCATTGCACAACAAGTTCCTGGATTCCTGTACATCAAAAGAGACACTAGGCAGGCTTTGGTGGGGGTGAAGGTGGGATGAGATGAGGGAGACCAGCTTTCCTCCCCTGTTCAAGGGGGAGCTAAAATATATGTATTGAGTGAGAGCTGTAATAAAACAAAAGGGGTGAAGAGATGCAGGCTGGGAACAAATATGAAAGGCAGTGGGGTATGGCGGCAAGGCGATGGAGCACCATCGGAGGATTGGATGAAATTATCTCTTTATAATCAGGGGGCTTCTGCATGGCTGCTCCCTCCATTGCCCAGTGACAGATGAGGCCTACCTCTTCAAATGGACTTTTCACAGTGCTATCAGGCCACCTCGAGGGTAAAATAATGTTTTTCATTCCCCATGTACCACCACTTTAAAAGCTTTGTTTCCACACAGCACCCCACCGAGGACAGGACTGTCTCACATCAGGAAGGGTCCATATTTGTCTCATTATGTGATCATGTTATATAAGTTTACATTGAAAATGGCAGCAGATGAAATTTGATGAAACAGCAGGGGCTAGAAGACGGTCATGCTAAATAATGGTGAATGAAGATACTAAATCTGAACATTATCTCCAGCAAGTGAGAAGCATTGCTTTTTGAACTGTCACAGTCACACAGTTTGGAGTAAACATTATTTAAGACACCAAAAACCCATCCTTCCATCTTCAAAGAGAGTTTCTAGCCTGTTAATGCAATGTAGACAAGTTGTGCACCTCTGCTCTGCAGGATAAAAACAAACTGGGGGAGGGGGGAAGAGTAGAGAATGATTAGCTTCATCCCACCATCACAGCAGAACAAATGGATCACAAACCCTCGCTGCTTTACACAGTCTCTCAGCTGAGCTGTCAAGGCGCAGGGAAGTGGTAAACAAATTTAATTTATTCATATAAATGGCTTGCGAACCACAACAGTCAGGCTATCAGCACAGTGTTGTTTAAGTTTATTCCCACTTTATTACAACCTGGGCATTATTATTTTTGGTTCTGATAACACTGTGCTCAGTTGAGCATGAATGTATTATTGAAACCTATTATATTGTTATTACTATTGTATTATTGAAAATTAAGTAAAATTAATATTGAAATATACTTAAACAATAATATTGTTGCTTAAATAATAAATTCATGAAGTTGAGCCGCTTTCACACAAAGCCAGAGTATCAACATCATTTCTTGTCAGTATTTTTGCTCAACTCAAAAGACACAATATGACCCGAGAAACTGATTAAAATTATATTTTACCTGGACTGGACCGGATTATTTTTGATTCCACATCATTAGAAGCATCTTTAAGGAATCAGGGGTTAGTTAAGTCTTAATTCTGAAAACTCACAGAAGATTTATGTATGTGATACCCAAGATGTTGCTTACTTCACCTTTACTTCCACTTCCATTCTCAGCCTTAGTTACATACTGGATTGGCTTGCAAAACCAATCCATGTCACAAAATCATCTCATATGTCCACGTTTTAAGCTCCAATTTAAGTTTAGTGCAAAGAAATTTCCCCCCTTCAGCAGACAAAGGTGAAACAAGCCATCTAGTGTTAAACCTGGTGAAGGTCAAACATCCAAGTGAAGTAAGAGTAAACACATTTTAAGTGTAGGTGTAAGAGAATCTTAAATAATACAAAGGTATGTTTTAAGGGACACATAAGCAGGGTTTGAATAAAGACACATTTCCTGCCTCGGCCAAAGTATCCACGACTGTAGAAAGGCAGGGAGTTGAAAGTGGCTGCAGAAGCGGGAAGACAACAAGCTGTGCTGGCCATCATCCCGACCACACACACACTCACACACATGACACAAAGATCTTCTCACCTTCCCTTGACTGCTGGACCTGCATCATGATACCATAACAACACCCTCAGTCACTCCTAATGTGCTTTACAACAACACTACAGGCGGGGTGTTACACCTCTGCAGAGCTGTGTGAAATGCTCCCCACAACCGACACACACACACACAAACACAGACCTGACTAATCGAAAGCTCCAAGTACTGCTGACACTATTAAAACAGAACAAGGGGACCTGAAGGAAACATCAGCATCACTCTTACACCTTGTGGGGACACGTTGAGACGCGCTGCTCAAGGTGATTGCGTCCCCGCATGCCGTCTATTGTGGGTGAATTAGGCAATAAAAGAGTAATCTGCACCATCATTGACTAGGGCTTGGCTGTTTGCAGCACTTAAGGGTTATAAAGATGAGGAAGGAGGAGGAGGTGATGGGGAGGAAGCATCTTTTCATCCTCGTGATTTTAATGAGCTTTGATTCCAAGATATGTCTTGTTTTCTTCCGACTGTCAGCCGAGGCCGGTGTTAAAGCTCCCCTTTAATTATCTCAGCATTGTAGAAACAGCGTTTTCTTGCACTGAGGGAGGGGTGTTTAGTTTGGAGAGGGCAGCTCTAGGACTCCAGGTGTCTGCCTGGT